CAAAGTCTCTACAGCAGATGGTTCACATATGCCCATTGCTGGGAAGGGGATGGTTAGAATGACCAATGATATAACTCTGTCCTCTGTTTTACATGTCCCTAGACTTCATACCAACCTACTGTCTGTTAGTTATTTGACAAAAAAATTGAATTGTTCAGTAACCTTTCTTCTTGGTAAATGTGTTTTGCAGGATCTGGAGTCAAAGAAGATGATTGGGAGTGGTCGTGAGGTGAATGGAGTTTACCTTTTGGATGAGATTCCGAGACATCAGGGCCATCATGTTAGCAGTAGCAGTAGTAGTGGCCTAGAGTCGGTGAACCAGATTATGCTTTGGCACAATCGCTTGGGACATCTTTCTTTTAATTCTTTGAAATGTCTTTTCCCAAAGTTGTTTGAGTCTGTTCAATTATCTACTTTGGAGTGCGAGAGTTGTTAGTTAAGAAAGCATTGTAGATAGTCTTTTAAACCAAGTAATAAAAGAAGTACTTTTGCTTTTAATATTGTTCACACTGATGTATGGGGGCCATATCAAATCCCTTCCATGSRASGATTYSGYTACTTTCTCTTGTTTGTGGATGATTATACACGATATTCTTGGCTATATTTGATGAAATCATGTGATGAGGTTCCTAACTTAGTACGACAATTCCACCAGATGGTTCTTACACAATTTGGAGTGAGAACTAAGGTTTTTAGATTAGATAATGCCAGAGAGTACTTTGAGAAGGATCTAATCACATATCTCTTAGAACATGGTGTTGTTCATCAGAACAGTTGTGCATATACACCGCAACAGAATGGAGTTGCTGAGAGGAAAAACAAACACATTGTGGAGGTGGCAAGGAACTTATGGTGCGCGCTTCAGTCCCTGCGCAGTTCTGGGGAGATGTAGTTCTTACAGCCGTACATGTGATTAACTGTGTTCCTTCATGGACTTTGGGGTTTAAGGTGCCATTTAGCCTCATTTTTCCAGATGGAGAGATATTTCATATACCTCTTAGGGTTTTTGGCTGTGTTTCTTTTGTTAACATTCTTGGCCCTCATCGCAAGAAATTTGATCCTAAGGCCAAGAAATGTGTTTTTCTTGGGTATGCTCAGAACCAAAAGGGGTATTGCTATTATGACCCAGTGTCGATGAGCAGATTTGTCACTATGGATGTTACCTTTTTTGAATCCACATTCTTCTTCTCGAGTAGTTCTCCTTAGGGGGAGAGTTTTGGGGAGAACTCACAATCTCTTCCTCTTCCTGTTTTTGTGGTGCCTCCATCGGTTCAGCCAGCACCTGCACCTCTAGTTTCATTACCTGAGCCACTACGGGCAACCTCACAACAATATCAGTGCTGACAGATGATGGTTGACTCCACACATGAGTGGAAAACCTGAGTGGAAAACAACCATGCAAGATGAGATGGATGCTTTGGTCAAAAACCAAACTTGGGAAATAGTTGATCTTCCCCCAAACAAGGAGACAGTCGGATGTTGATGGGTGTTCACAGTGAAGTATAAGGCCGATGGCAAGATAGAGAGGTACAAGGCAAGGTTGGTAGCAAAAGGGTATACTCAGACCTATGGTGTTGATTATCTGGAAACCTTTGCATCAGTAGCTAAGATGAGTTCAGTTCGTATTTTTTTATCTCTAACAACCACCTATTCACGGCCCTTGTTCCAGTTTGATGTCACAAATGCTTTCCTCAATGGTGGCTTACAGGAGGAGGTATATATGGACATTCCAGCAGGCTTTTATGAAAATGTTGGTAAAGGAAAGGTGTGCAGACTCAGAAAATCTCTGTATGGACTAAAACAATCACCTAGGGCTTGGTTTGACAGGTTCAGAGGGACACTCATCCGTTTTGGATACACACAAATACAATCTGATCACACCCTCTTTGTGAAGAGGAGAKATGCTTTGGTGTCAATTCTGATTGTGTATGTGGATGATATAGGGGTGACAGGAAATGATCTGGAGGAGATTGATGATCTCAAAAAATCACTGCAGCAAGAATTTGAGATCAAAGATCTTGGTGAGCTCAAATACTTCTTAGGGATTGAAGTTGCAAGATCCAAGCATGGGATCTTCATTTCACAGAGAAAGTATGTACTTGACCTACTGCGAGAGACTGGGAAGCTGGGGACTAAACCAGCAAACACTCCTATTGATCCAAATCACATAATTGGTAAAGGATGTGCGAGAGACTGAGAAAGTATGTACTTGACCTACTGTGTATGACACGACCAGATATTTCTTATGCTGTCAGTTTGTGAGTTAGTACACGCATGCACCTCAGGTTCAGCACTGGGAAGCTATTGAGAGAATACTTGCATATCTGAAAAAACACCCTGGCAGAGGTATTCTTTTCTTAAATCATGAGAATCTGAAGCTAGAATCCTATATAGATGCAGACTGGGCAGGATGCTTAGATGACAGGAGGTCTACATCAGGAGTGTGCACCTTTGTAGGTGGAAACTTGATCTTCTAGAAGAGTAAGAAGCAAGCGGTTGTGGCAAGGTCAAGTGTAGAGGCTGAGTATAGATCCATGGCTCATGGTGTCTCAGAACTTCTTTGGGTTAKATMTCTTTTGAGTGAGATTGGGGTGAAAGCAGAAGAACCTATGATGTTATACTGTGACAATTAGGCTGCAATCAATTTGCCCACAATCCAATTCAGCATGATAGGAAAAAACACATTGAAGTTGATAAACACTTTATAAGAGAAAGGGTAACAACTAGAGAAGTTTGTTTGCCTTATGTCTCTTCAGAGTTGCAGTTGGCTGATGTTCTCACTAAAGGGGTGGCAAGGAACAAGCTTGAACATGATCTACGCAAGTTGGGAATGTGTGACATTTACTCCCAACTTGAGGGGGAGTGTTGAAGATTAATTAGTTTTATGATGTTTTTTTGAGTAGATGTTTATGTTAGTTGTTAGATAGGTGGGGACCACAATAGTTATGTGAGTCCAAATTTTATTATGTTTTTGAGTGTTATATATGCTGTTTTATGTTTTGCCGCCCTATAAGGGGATAGTTGTCTTTGTACTGTTTTATTATTTTATTATAAATAATAAGTGAAGGGGGCGGCCAGATTAATCGCTCTCTTTTCTTTCAACTTCTCTTCTTCTCCTTCTCTCTTCCTTCTCTCTTCAAGAAACTACTTTCTTTAGTATTTTTTAATTCAGCAGATTTCTACTCATATCTTGTATATGAGCCACTATGCTTAGGCTATGCAATTTTTGTCTAAAGACTAGGGTGTTGACATCTTAACTTTTTTACATATTGATACAATGAGAAGCACTGGCCATTTGGGTTAATCTAACTGTTATTTGAATACTGTACCTTGAACACTGCAGGCCTTCTACATTCTTTGGGGCCTTAGGTGTTGTCAGTTTTGGTTCTGAACATTGGTATTCTGTGCTTGTGAATTCAAACACGGTTTGATCAATGGGTGACTTTGCTCTTGATAAAATTCATCCTTAACTATTAAACACCAAATACAAATGCTTGATGATGATTATTTTGCTTCAGTTCTTGTGGTTATGGTTGGGCTGGAAAGGAATCTCTAGAATGAGCTATGGGGAAAGTAACGTCAGCCTAAAGGAGATAGCTAACCCAGGACGAGTTCATTGGGGGAAAAGGTAGCTATTGAAGCTAAAACCTTTGATCTCTTTGAAGATAATGTCTGGGTTGTTCTACTGTTTAAAGTAAAGGAGAGAGGATGAAAAAGACATTATTGCATCTGCCATGTAGTCATTAGCAGTTCTTATTTTGTCCACTTTATTAATGACTAAATGATAAGGGGAAGACCATATTTCCTTCAAGACTAGCGTAGAAATGCTTGCAATTTTGATGCTATCACCTTTGTTGAGCTTGAAAATGATGAACCTGTAATTCTTTAGAAACTGTTTGGGTTCCCTTCCAAATGCCCTAAATCTCTTCAGATACCTTATTGGTGTTCTGATCCTCTCTTTGTGTGTTTATTTACTTCATTTTGAATTTTTGTACTTCACTCAACAGATGGAAAATTGTGAAGGGCAACTGCACTGCTTTTTTTTTTTTAAGTTTCCTTTTCACAGTATTTTAATGTAGAGACTGTTTGGATACTATTAATCTGAGCTAATGCAGTTAGCACTTCTCTAGAATTCTAACATGATTGAACTCGTTTTTTTAACAGGTATTTGGTAGAACAGTAATTTGTCGAGACTTGGATGTGGCTACAAGGGTTGCTCGTACTGATGGTTTGGACTGCATAACATTGGAAGGTTTGAATTGGAACTTTGGTGCGATGCATTTTGTTTGATAATTTCTGCTTTGTAAATCTAAACCGTCTTCTTTTTCGTTCTTCTACCAGGTGATCAAGTTAGCAAGAAAGGTGGCATGACTGGTGGATTTTACGATTATAGGCGTTCTAAACTGAAATTTATGAACATAATTAGGCAGAATACGAAGTCTATCAATACAAAAGGCGAGGAACTAAAAAAGATTAGAATGAATCTTGAAGATATCCCATCAATGACCTTCCAATCTTGAGCTTATTTTCACTACTTTATTATATTTTTGCATACATTTTTATCTTGGTTTTCTCTTATAACACATGTTGCTGCTTTATTATTAAATTTTCAGAAACAAAATGATGAAATCATGATCACATCTGACCAACCTGCTGTATCTACCAAGAATCTAATGTTAGGCAACAAAAGAATTTACTCCATCCTAGAGTCATCAGATCTAATAGGAGTTGAACATGCTGATAAAATCTAACTTTTTGTATTCCTAAATGCACTTCTCATCAYTGATGGCACTGGGTTCCCTAAGGGGCAGCCATCAAAGTTTAGCTTTACTACTCCTTGGAGAGGAGTTGCCCAGACTGATTAATAATCCGCCTTAATGTAGATAAGCTAGCCTTAATTGGGATGGTCAAAAAGAATATGTGGATTTTTATTTCCATTTTGTTTAAACTTGACTGTTCCAACGGATAGACAAGAAAATTACAGAGCTTGTCAGCGAACAGCAGAAAATTGATGCTAAGCTAGCCCATGATAAATCAGAATTGGAACAAGTCAAGCAGGATATTGCTAATGCTTTTAAGCAGAAGCAATCCATTTCTAAAGCTCTTGAAAAGAAGGTATCTTTTACTGCTTCAAATATGTGGAATTATGCATTTCTATTGGTTTCTTGGCTGTTCTTGATATTAACATGCTTACCTTATTCATTTACAGGAAAAACTGCTTTCAAATGCTCGTAGTCAAATTGATCAGCTTAGAGCGGGTATGGCTATGAAAAGGGCTGAAATGGGAACAGAACTTATTGATCATTTGACACCAGAGGAGAAAGATCTTCTTTCACGTTTAAATCCTGAAATCACAGAGCTGAAAGAGAAGCTTATTGCCTGCAAGACAGACCGAATAGAGGTAAATTACTAAGTTCGTTAACCTATGTTAAAGTTTTTTTAAAGCTCAAGGTGGATTTTAGTGTTCAGTGTTCTCATATCTGTTTTTGATTAATAGACTGAGACAAGAAAAGGGGAGCTTGAGACCAACCTGTCAACCAACCTTGTAAGGCGACAACAAGAGTTGGAGGCTGTAAAATTATCTGTAGAGAATGACATGTTGCCTGGGGAAGCTGAACTTAAGAGGCAGGAGTTAAAGGATGCTAAAGCATTGGTTGATGATGCAACACAACAGCTCAAAAGTGAGACAAAAGGTTTACCTTGATCAAGTTTTCACCAGTGGTATATTGCCCTCTTTTGACTGAAATTATTCTTCACAGGAGTCGTAGAAAATATAGATGAACGAACAAAGGAGATCAAGAAAATCAAAGACGAGAGAAATAGATTAAAGGTTATATTTTTATATGGTGTTAATTGTGTATTGAGCAGCAGAAAGTATGGGAGGCTTGGCATTAATATCTATGCTTCACATTTTTCTATTGCAATTTCCAGACTTTGGAGGACAATTATGAGCGGACACTTCAGGATGAAGCAAAAGAATTGGAACAGCTATTGAGTAAAAGGAATATTCTTATTGCTAAACAAGATGATTACATGAAGAAAATTAGGGACTTGGGTTCATTACCATCAGATGCGTTTGATACGTAATTCTTTTCTCTACACTTGAAAAGTTCTCATTCAATGTAGTGTAGTGATTTTTTCCATTTCAATTTTCGTGGTGAATAATGCCTTATAATCCTTTAATTTCTACTATATGTGCTGATTTTATGGTAGTTACCTGTTTACGCAATTTGATAAAAGCTTCTATGTGTGGTGTTTTTTCCTTAGTTTTTGGAATTTATTTTTCTGTTGGTACTTGGTTTTGACTTGGAAATTTCCATCATGGGCCAATATGCATGCAGGACACAGCATATTGGCTAGGGGCCATTGCTTGGTGCAATGGTACAATGTTGGGCAGACAAGCATGAGAATGCAGGTTTGAATCTGAGAGCGGCCACCTCACACCAAAAAAATGCAAAAGGTTTTATGTACTCCACCCTCCCAAAACCCCGGATAGCTGGAAATCTTTAATGACAAATCATCTTTCACAATTTGCTGGAGCATCTGGAAGGGGAGAAATCAGAGAATTTTTATTTGGAAGGCATGAAATTAGGTGGTGGTTGGAAGAATTGAAAGGATATTGATTTCTTAGGTCAATCTTATAGGATTTTCAAGGGTTGCAGTTTTCTAGTTTCTGTATTGGGTGGGGGTCTACCCCTAAGGTGATGGTTGTTCTGGTGTTTGTAGTTGAACTGAAAGGCTGGGACAAAACTTGGATGGTGATGATAAAATGGAAACCATTAAATTACAAATCTTGCTGAGTAAAATTTTACCAGCTTGTTGGTCATGAAAAATGTCCATAGTAATTCTCAGTTTTATAGGTTGGTCTTTTGGGCACCACTGGAGTTATGAACTCCCCTTCTTCTCCAGAGGGGGGCAAAACAGAAGAAACAAATGATGTACTTGGTATTGCACTATTGTGTTATTTGCTACTGCTTGATTTTTTTTTCACCTTTGGTACTGCTTATTTTATCATACTAATTTGTTATTGCTTAGTTTTCTTTGAGATGATAATTCATTACCTTTCTTCCCTTTTGGGATATGAATCTCCCCCCAACCCACAAAAATAATGATGTGCTTGCAATGTACCCACTGTCGTATTATCATTTGGCATTGCTTGTTTTATTTTATTGCATTTGGTAGTGCAGTTGTTTTTGTTAATTTGTTAAAGTCAAGTTTTTTAGATAACTCATTCATTTTCTTTCTAACACAATTAACAGATACAAACGAAAGAGCATCAAAGAATTGTATAAAATGCTTCACAAGTGCAATGAACAATTGCAAGAGTTTAGCCATGTAAATAAGAAGGCACTTGACCAATATATCAATTTTACTGAGCAAAGAGAGGAACTCCAGAAAAGGCAAGCTGAACTGGATGCTGGTGATGAGGTACTATTTTCCATTAGCTCATGATTTGCATATCATGACAATGAGCTTATAATTAATGGCTATGGGCCAGGGTTTCCTGAATCAACTGCTTTTTACCTTCTGCAGAAAATTAGTGAACTTATCTCAGTCTTGGATCAGAGGAAAGATGAATCAATTGAACGGACGTTCAAAGGTGTTGCTAGGCATTTCCGAGAAGTCTTCTCTGAACTTGTTCAAGGTGGTCATGGATACTTGGTTATGATGAAGAAAAAGGTTTGTTATTTTTCTATTTTCTGTATACCATGCTGGCCAATCTCTGTATATTTTTGGTTATCGAATCAAGGGTGCTAGGTAAAATAAATTCCTCCATAAATTGGCAGTGCATGCACTGTGAGTCTTTGTTGACATCTTAACCATGCTTTCTCTGTAAAATTTTCTTATGCTTTCTTAATCCATTATGAGTATGATGTTCCTGCAAAATTGTCTTCTATCAGGTTCTGCTTTGTATATTCTTTCAATCCATCCCTATTTCACATACCAAGAAAGTGATGAGTTACATCTCATGGAGAGGGAAGAAACTAGGTTTACAACAGGACTACTACTGTTCACATTCCTTTAGAGTGGAGTTTAGACTGTAAAGTTGTGAATGTCTGCAGCAAAAACCAAGACCTAAACCCCACAGTTAGGAATATATAATTGCCCCCATGCCGATGGCACACACATTTTTTATGACAATCTCCTTGTCATGAGCATGTTTTATGCAATTTTGTGCAAAAATTTCAGTTTTGGATTTATCTTGCACCTAAGCCTACATATTTATTAGATTCAATGTCAGTTGAACAATTAAAAGAATTACTTATGATTGGTAATTCCCTTGTAATTGTACTTTTCCTATTTTTGTAGGATGGTGATCATGGGGATGAAGATCAGGATGAGGATGGCCCTCGAGAAGCAGAGAGGGAGGGAAGGGTGGAGAAATATACTGGCGTAAAAGTGAAGGCATGTATCTTAAATGTTAATTTCCTTCTATAGGCAGAAGATATAAATGAGAAACATTTGAGAACATCTATGATAATTCTATGATAATACCCAGATACGGAAGGGACATATCTGTAAAGGGTATTGGACTGTACACTCAAAATTGAAGTGTACCATATGTCACATATATAGGTATTTGGGTATCATAATGCAAGATGCCTCATTTAGTATTTTGGCGCTGTCAACTTGGTGCACCTTTACCTAATTTTGTTTGAAATTCTATGCTTATCAAGGGTCTCAAGAGGATTATCTCTTTCTTTTCACATACGTAAAAAGTCATGGTATTCATGTAGTTCTTGATCAGCTCCCTGCTCTAACTTGTGATACTTGAATTGGTCTCTTGTGATAGGTTTCTTTTACTGGCCAAGGGGAAACACAGTCGATGAAACAACTCTCTGGAGGTCAAAAAACTGTTGTGGCCTTGACACTGATCTTTGCCATTCAGCGATGTGATCCTGCTCCTTTTTATCTTTTTGATGAGATTGATGCAGCATTAGATCCCCAATACAGGACTGCTGTCGGAAGTATCCAATTTCTTGTTTGTGCTATGTTTATCCATGTTCTATCTTTACCTATCTAAATTTTCATCTTTTGGTTGGGAAATAGAGGTAATGCATATATTGAGTTAACTGGTAGAAACTGCATAGACATCCATATCATAACAAGTGGTCATTAATCTTAAGTCTGAACATCCTAAATGTTGTGCCTATTAGATTTGGTTGTCCAAAAGATGATTCCCTGGATTGATTACTAGAAGTTCTTGTTTGGTGAAAAACCATTATTCAGATGGCTAAAGCTTATTGCTGTAGTCATTGTTCAAGTCCATACAATAGGAAGCCCCCCTAGGATAGGGCGTGGTCAAATGCTCTCTTGGATGGTCCTAACAAATGACTATCAGGTCACTCTTCGGTGCAGTGCTAATACTTTCTAACTATAGGTGTAATGCACAGCCCACTTTTTCGTGCCACCTGCACTGTAGTGGGCTGTGCCGGCACATGCCTGTATGGGCCACAGGCTTCAATCCCTTGGCCCATCCCAGCCTGGGGTTGTGGCCTGTGCTGGCCCACGGGGCCCATTTTACAGCTTGATTTCTGACCTTTTGAAAAGAATAAACTAGATTGAATAGTCAAGATCCTCAAATGGTGTAAAAGGGTTAGGCTCTTACTGTCTGACGTAGCATTTGGGCAAAACTTGATAGGTGGTTCACCTTGCCACGTCGACCTACTTCATGAACATGGGTGGGAGACTTTTCTATTTTGTTGACTTTTGTATGTGATTATGATAATCTGCAGCCACTGGTGTTCCCAAAGCTGCGTTTGTTGGAATACAAATTGCATTTGCATTGGTGTAAATGCATGGAGTGCAAAAGGGCCGTGTAAATTCTGGTTTACTTTTGCTTCAGATTTGACTGTCTTATTTGTTTGTGAAAAGTAAAATGTGGTGACTTCCATTTTAAATGGAACAGAATGAAGGTAAGAGGAAGATGGTGCACAATTTTCATTGCTGGTGAATGCAAAAGAGGCAACATACAAATTTTTGTACCATGTAACAATGCAAAGCATAACTATAAACAAACAAAAGCAAAACTGAACCAGGTGCAAAATTTTCACCTGGTCAAGATTTACACAGCAACCAAACGCAGCAAAATGTTGTTATTCAAAGCCCAAAGTTTGATTATTAGTTACATGCTTTTTACCTTTTGTTTACATAAATGCAGACTATTGTCTTCTTTCAAATTAAGTTGATTATTTCCATGGTTACTGGCCGTTATATGTTTAAATTGGTAATTTTCCTTGTTCTTGTTTGGCATTAGATTGGGAATCTTAACCATTTGTCGTTCTAGATATGATTCGCCGCCTTGCAGACATGGCAAACACTCAGTTTATTACCACGACGTTTCGGCCAGAGCTTGTGAAAGTTGCTGACAAGATATATGGGGTGACACATAAAAGCAGGGTCAGCCGTGTCAACGTCGTCTCCAAGGAAGAAGCCTTGGACTTCATTGAACATGACCAAACTCACAATACTGACTAGAGGTTACAGGTTAATACATGCTTATAGTAGCCTGTTTATATTAGGTTGTAGGGATTGCTTGTAGGTGTAGATTATCAAGGAGCATGGACAGATTGGAATATGAGTGCACATCTATTCTCTCATTTCTTGTTTGTATAAAGTTAAATCTTCTGGGCCGTCCATCTCTGTGCAAGAATCCATCTTGTGGGGCACTAGCCTGGTAGTAATTTCATGGAAATGTCTTTCATCAATACAATGTGCAGTCAGTTTGTCAAGAAATTTGTTCTTAATGATTTGGTTAGCACATATTCTCTCTCTCTCTCTCTCACGTATGACATGGTTTGGATAGCACAGGTTCAACCCCAAGTCCATGTCAACCAAAAGAGATTGCTCTTAGCAAATGTTTAAGTTGATTTGGGTGGTTCAGAAATTATGCAACTAGAAACAAGATTAATTCCAATAATTTGGATGGCACGAGGCGAAGGTTCAAAGAATCAGTAACACAGACTCAACGTGTATTTTGAAAGTATTTGTTTTGGTTGAGTTTTTACACTTTTCATATTCATCTTTAATGCTAGGTTTGGTGCAGCAACAAGATATCTTACCTGGGTAGAGAACATTATATTGGTACTGTAATTTCAAGAAAGAAACAGATTAGAAAAAATGGACTGATTCCATGCCTCTTCACCATGTTTTACCATTGGACTCGCTGTACGAGTTGCTCACAAAAATCAGACTTTCAGAGTTTTTGGCTAATGATAATCAAATGCATAGAATTCACCAAACAAGAAATAATTACTCACAAATATCCATTTTTCTGAACTATGGAGTTTAGTTGAAAGCAATGTTCATTTTCAACTTTCAACCTCGAACTTCCACCTTTTTTAATGACATGATGGCTGGTTCTTATAAATGCTATTTTTTGGTTTGAGATTGGGTGATAATCTTAGTAAGAACATAGCAGTCGGGAGGCGTAATATTCGTATAGTAGTTTTGGATGGTTTCAGTGATTTCGAACCCAAATTTCTTGTAGAAATTGATTGCATCTTCATTGTTTGTCTGAACGTGCAAGTAAACCTCTGTGATGTTTTGGTTGGAGCACAGATCTAGAACATGGTTCAACAGCTTGGTGCCTGCAGGTAACAAGAAAATTGTTAATCCAAGTTTAGCATACTAGAAATTGAACAAAAAGAATGAAACCCAAATATTATATCTAACTGAGAATAGATCATGGTGGCAAATTAGTGGCACTTTCAGCAACGCATACTTGGTATGTTTTAACATTCCATTCCTCCATTTATACAGCAATTGCGATGGTATACAAGGGGCAACAGGCTGGCAGGTTCAAATCACCGAGTGTCAGTTTAGCTGCACTAAACTGATTTTATGATTCTAATAGAATAATTTTCAATCTGTATCTTCGAACTGCCCGTTCATTCACTGTGGCTTTTCCATCAATATAATAATTTTCAATCTATATATGATGACTCTAGCTTGTTTTTGAGTGAAGGAATGCTTACCCAAGTTAGTACTCTGCCTTTTCCAAGGATGGAGACTGCAGGGTTTAAGTAAAAGGGGCAGGGTGTTATAAAGCATGCTACCGGCAGTGATATTATGGATAACATGGAAAATCTGAGAATCATTGACAACAAAGATTATGAGATGGAAGTGGTGAAGAACAATCTTATGGGGCTATTGTACTCATGGTTTAGCATTCAAATTGTAATCCAATTTCATATACTGATTATACAGATCCAGTGTAATGGCTGTCAAGCGTGAGAATGTGGGTTTGAGTCTGAGAGCGGCCATTTTGTGCAAAGAAATGCCAAGGATTAGGAAAGCATCTAGCCCATCCCTCCACGGACCCCCATATAACTGGGACCACACTGGTTAATGACCAAAAACCAAAAGAATGAAAGAAAAGCAAAGAAATATTGGTTAATGGCCTTATAGATTGTACTCCCACTATATAAATTCTCAATGTGCATGGGTTGGTTTTATTTTAAAGGAAATCCAATATCTAACTTTCTCAAAAAGAAAATCCAGTCCTCACAATCCTAGGTTCAAACAGTTTTATCAATCCCCCAATTCAGAAGTTTCGCATCCAGCAATCTACCCTAGGGAGGATTCCTTCACAAACTTGAAGCTCAACGAGTAAAACTTGATTTGAGAAATACAAGCAATATTTTGGAAAATGATGCACATCTTTGGCAGTAGAAACTACTGGAAGTGCAGAAGTCCAACATCTTTAGATGTCCGAAGTGGTGGTGACCTGTTCATCTATATGTCGACGAATTCTGGTGGGAGCAGGGGAGGATTGAAAGAAAAGAATGGTTCTGGTGGCTGATAAAAAAGTGGAAGACTGGAAAAAAATTAGCCACCAAGGTTGGATAGTTTTCATTTCTTAGAATATTAATACTTCTATGAGCGCTGAGGAGGTGAGCTGGAGACAAAAATCGAGGACAACTTGGCTGAGGGAGGGAGATAAAAACACAACATGAAAGTTATTGATCAAAATAATAAAAACAAAGAAGGATTCTTGATGGAGAAGAACGAAGGATTCACAACAACTGGAAAATGGAGAAAAGTGATTACAGCCGAGAGAAAATGATTCTTGATGGAAGAAATTGTATACCAAAAGAATCTTACGATAAAGATAAGAGAAGGAAGAAGAGGAACGAAACTGTTGGTGGGTGAAGCTGTATCATGGTTCCAGAGCTTCCTGGACGGAGCAGTACATGTAAGTTGGGGTAGGCCACGGAAGAGTTCCCTTAGGCAGTTAAGGAGGGAGTATTTTGCTGAGAGAAAGAGAAACTCCAGTGGCTGGTTTGTTGTTCTGGAGGAAAGTTTTGAGCAGAGAAAAAACAGAGCATCATCATATACCAGTAGGCAACAGTCTGCAAGGCTGGAGTACGGTAGCAAACGAGCTTCACTGGAGAATAGCTGTGAGAAAGAAGGAAGAGATAAAGGAACCAGAAAAAATGACAGCAATACTGGGAAAGGAAGAAATGACAAAGAGAAGGAAGCAATTAGAGAGGCTGGGGTTAGAAGAAAATACTGATTCAATGGCGGTATCTCTAACAATACTGGAACCAAAGATCTTATTGGAGGGGGAGAAAGGAAGTTGGGAGCGAAGACTAATCTTGTTGGCAAAGAAGGAAGTAAACGACTGGAAAGGCTTACTCGAGGAGGTGACTTCCAAGATTGGTACTCCTCATACTGTGATACTAATCCCCTTCAATGACAGAAAAGGTGTAATGGAAGTGGGGGAAAGGGAGATATTGGACTTCAAAACTGTAGTAACAAGTGAGGGACCTGTAACAATTGAAAACTGGTGCCCATCGGCTAATGAAGTAACAATGGGCAACGGGAGCTTCAACTGAAGCTTCTAGGTTTGCCTTTTCATCTATGGCAAAAAACCACTCTCCAAAAAATAGCGACAGCTTTGGGTGGTGCTCTCCTATCCTTCAAGATGGTGGACTTGAGAGCAGTGAACTTGAAAGTCGCTGGTGTGAAACCTGAGAAGGTTTCAAGATCCATCAATCTGTATGCGGACGGCTACTGGTACGATTGGGTAGCATCGGAAGTTGAAGTGTCACTCTGGTATGGAAGGTCAAAGATTGAAGACGATAGTGACGTGGCAAAGTGGGTTACAATTGGCGATGAACAAGGAAAGAAAAGTGGACACGTGTGCGGACTTGGGAAGGAAAACTCTTCTAGGAATGAAGATGTTCCCACTTTAGAAGCTGAATGGCAAGAACCAAATATTCAGCCATTTTAAGAAAAGTTTTCAATTTTTTTTTGAATCCAAAAAATCTGAGGGTCATTCTTTCGCAGAGGTAGTCAAAGGGGTGACTCGGTCGGACCAAGGGGTGGGTCCACCCAGAGGAGAAAAACTTGTTTATAGGTCCCGGTCTGACCCAACTGGCATCCTAGTGGGTCAATTGAGGTCCAACTGGGGGAGTGGTCCATATATTTTACTCGACTCAGGTGACACCTTTAAAGGTCACGTGAGTCGGGTCCACTTAAGTGCGACTGGAGACTATGGATGATCTATCTTCATCCTCACAGAAAAAACAAAAGAAGGATTCTTGTTTCGGCCAAAGAAACAGTGCTGATGTGAAGAGAAAATTACAGTGGATCCCAGTTTCCAAATCTGATGCAGCGAACCAAGGAAAGTTGGGAGAAGAACACCCAAATCCAAGGTATTTCAGATGCGGAAGAGAGGAGCATGAAGAGGACGCTGGCTGGGTTCACTGCGAATCCTCAGACGATGAATACGAACCAGAATCTGAGACAGAGAGTGACAGCTTTGGGGAAGATATGATGGAGAAAGAAGACATGGAGGACATGCTTAGCGCGGCTGCTGAACTGTTCGTTGGAGAACATAAGGATTTAACCTCTAATAAAAAATATCCTAATAATGGTGGAATGCTGAAAGATGCAGAGTACAATTTGGAGGATAAAAGGGAAAACGGTGTACCAGAAAAAAGAAATCCAAGTCAGAGAATGAACAGTGAGCAAGGAATGGGTAAGATAATATCAATCAATATCCAAACTTCGAACAAAGGCATAACAGAGGGGGATAAATGACAGAGCGATGGAAGTAGTTGTGAGTCCGAATCAGGTTCAGAAAATTCCTCACAAAATTATATTCTGGGAGTGAATTGTGAAGTCCAGACCAGTGTTGAATCTACTTCAAACTCAGGTCCAGGTATGTCTGTGCCTTTGGGTTTTGATACTAACTCTAGCTCTGGTCTTGCTGCTTGTACTCTAGGTTCCGGAGCTGCTTCCTTGCCATTTGCCCATGACGAAATTGAGACACAAGAGAAAGAGCAGAGAGGGGAGAAAAAGAAGGAAAGTGAAAGTGCGGATAGATGGTATAAAGATACTGGAGAAGAGATGGATTACAGAAAGAGTGAAGGGACAGAAGAGAAGGAATTAGAGGAGTCTGAATTGGAAGAAGCAGAAGAAGAGTCGTTGGCAGAATTTGTGGGAAAATTGGGATGTAAAATAAGAAATCTGAATGAGCTGAAAATATACCTTAAGAATAGAAAGGAAGGGAAGGTGAGAAAAAGAAAGACGAGTGAAGTTGAAAGGCTGAAGCAAGATGTGGAAGGGGATAAGAAAATCAGTGAGAGAAAGGGCAGGGGTAGGAAAGGAGAAAAATAGGAAAGCAGGTTAGGGACAGAATAAGAAGGCAATATGAAGATCGTGAGAGAATTGGGGAATGCAAGAAAGAGGGTGTTAATAAAGGAGCCACTGAGAAAAGAAAATCCAAATATACTCCTAATTCAGGAATCTAAGCTCATGACATTTAATAGTAGGTGGGCCAGAAGTGTATGGAGAGGAAACAACATCAGTTGGGCAATGAGTCCCTCATGGGGAACTTCTGGAGGAATAGTGACTTTGTGGAAAAATGAAGTTGTTGAATAATTGATTGGAAAAATCTTAGTTTTTGTTAAATTCAAACAGGTGGGCGATGGTTTTGAATGGGTATTAACTAATGTATATGGCCCCAATGGATACAGGCAGAGGAGTGAGTTGTGGGAAGAGCCAAAGACATACGAGGATTATGAGAAGGTCCTTGGTGCTTAGGAGGGGATTTTAATGTAATTAGATTCATTGAGAAGTGTAACAAGATGCGGCAAAGAAACACTACAAGTATGAGGAAATTCAACGAGTTTACCAATGTGTTTGAGCTCAAAGAACTGAATTTGTTGCATAGTCGGTTTACTTGGTCAAATCTCCAAGCTGATCCAATTTGTTCAAAACTAGACAGATTTTTGTTTACTACTGATCGGGAAGAATACTAGGGAGGTCTGATGTCAAGGACACTGCCTAGGGTCACCTCTGATCATTGGCCAGTTTTGATTAATAAGGTGGACCCTAGGAATAGAGGACCTATCCCATTCAGATTCGAAAACATGTGGTTATCCCATCTAGGTTTTAAGGAGAAAGTGAAAGAATGGTGGGTAGCAAGTGATCCGAGGGCTAATTGGGAGGGTATGAAATTTCAGTGGAAGCTGAAGGAGTTGAAAATCAAAATCAAAGAATGGAATATTCTCCAATTTGGGAGGCTTGAGGAAAGAAAACAACAGTTGATGAGTCAGATAGAGGAGCTAGATGCAAA